GTAAAGTTTTTCTACAGATTAAAAAAAATTTTTTTCCAGCTTTAAATATACCTATCTGTTGCAGAAAATTTAGAAAATGTAGAAAATAGGAAGAAAATTAGATGTCTTCTGATCCTCCGTCCAAGAATAACCATAGTAAACACTTTGGGGTAAAGTTGTAAAATATTTTATTTTTGTATGTGTACTTTTGTTCCCTTAATAGCACACATCACAGGGATGTACTCTTGCTTGCTTGTTAAACTTAGCCATGTATTATGAACGTGTGCTTAGGACAGGAGTCATGCTGTAGATGCAGTTTTGTACGGAAACGTATTTTACGTAGTTTTTCTTAAAATGATAACTGAACAGAAAGGGAGACTATGTGAAGTCCTGAGTCAGCAAAGGCATTCCTTAGCGAAGCTAATCTTGTCCAGCTGCATCTGTGATTTAACTCGGTGTAGGGATAGCGTTTAGAGGCCTGGAGGAAAAGATGATAGCTTGCTTGGCTCTCTCAAATTTCAGTTGTCTTATCTGTGCTTTAGCAAGAGTTGGTTATCAGTGCACTGAAAATTGGGCTTGCTGGCAAGGCCTCTGCAAATGTTCTGCGGTTTCCATTAAGGGAGAACTCTTTGCTCCCGGTAACAAACTTGTCAATGGCAGAGTTGACATTTGCTTATGAAAATAAGGGGCTCGACCTGTTTCTGTCACGGAAGGAGGGCCAGCTTGCTTCTTCAGCCGTGTCACCTTTACTTCTTTCCCATTATTAAGCCACTCCCCCCGGTCCCCCAGGATGGTGAATCACGATTTCTGTTCCAGAACACTCTAACTTTTCTGGGAGCTCTTGAAGCCAAAGGTACCCTACACGAAAAGATCATAATTTCTTAAGATTGGAGGATTTACAGAAACTTCATTTTGAGAGATTTCCCTCAAACCACCAGTCATTTAGAACAGAAAAGGGCAGCTTGAGGTTTTTCCCTGGGTTACCTAAAAAGGAAAAGATAATAACTGGGTGGAGTTACCATAAAACTGCAGAGAGGCTTTTAAGGATGGTTTGAGGTTAGATTGTCTGTTTTTAAAATTAATTGGTTTCTCTTCTTGGACAAATTACATGATTTCAAGTCACAGTTTAGGCATTAATCGCCTCCGCGATGGCGGTTCTGTTAGCACTTGCTTTGCATGTTCTGTCTGCTGGGCCGAGGAGGGGCCCAGACGAAAATGCATGTCGATGCTCAGTCTAATAGGAAGGATTCTGGTGTTTAGAAGTGAGAACAGTTTTAAAAGTTAAAGTCTCACTGGACTTCTTCTGCCCTAACGTTGTCTAAGATGGACCGTAAAACAGAATTCTCAGAGATCGCTTGAGGGTCAGGTTTTTAGCCAGACTTGGGAGGGGTGGCCTTCTCCCTGATGCCTCCACAGGCCGGTGTGTGAGCCTGTGACCGACCGCTGCAGGTTCAGCCCACACTCCCCTGCACCCTTCGTTTTCTCTTTCACTGTCTTACTTCATTTGCACGCTCCTGTCTTCCTTAATAAGTCACACTCACATAAAGCTTCCTGCATGCCGGGTCGACGTCTGAGCACTTTAGATAGAAGAACCCACTTGGCCTCACAGCAACCCTGTAAGGCAGGTACCGTTATTATCCCCGGCTTATGGACAGGGAAAGGGAGGCACACAGTGGCTTATCCCAAAGTGGAGCCAGGACTCTCACCCCAAAAACCTGATTCCAGAACCAAGCTCTTAACCATCACCCTGTGTGTTGTCTCTTGAGTAGGTTGTTCCTTTGAAGGCAGACATTGTTTTACCCAACCCATGTCTCAGGTAATGTCATGGTGCTTTAATAGCTTAATGGCTTCTGGGGTTGGCTACTTCTGTATTTACTGTTTCGAACTTGGTCTGTTTTATTGATCACATTTTAGTTCAGGAGCAATTGGGTAGAAGCTAAAGTTAGGCTGATGTTACTCGCTATTCATGAATAATCAATTATGAGACTATTTATAACTTAGATTTCAGGAGTACTGTGAATGGTAGTATATTTTAACTCCATCATGCCTGTGAATTTTACCTCTTAATAATTGTTTTCTGGTTGTGGTTTGATTAAGTCGGGTTCTTTCTGCATGTAGGAATGGTAGAAAATGGTAATGTGTCTTATGGAAAGTGATAAGAAGCTCACTTGGAAATGTCTCAGAGACAAATGATTTCTGTGTGTGTACGCACACATGACACTTTAAGTCACTTTTTTCATGCGAGTGAGCAGGATGTATTGACTTACTGTATGTGCCAACTACTGAAATTAATTACTTTTTCAAAGAATTGTTGTGACTGCCAAACACAAATCATTTCTACTGAAGGAAGGAGTCAGAGGCTCCTTGACCTGGTTGGGGGTCCTCTTGGTACATCTTCATTGTCACCAACTTCCTGGGGCTGGGAAGCCCTCTCCCCTCTAGATTACCACGTGAGAAGGGGGTCTTTAGGTTATTACACATTCTGTGTAGATTGTAGTTCATTCTCATTTTTAAAGAGACTTGTCTCTTTATGGAAAGGGTTGGTTTCTCTTTAAATTGCCCCATTCCTGCCACGTTTACCTTTCATCCTTTTCTTTCAGGAGCTTATCCTTGGTGAAAATGAAGTATAGTACGTGGTGTAGCATCTGGAGTCCCATCAGGTTCCATACATGCCGAATTCTTCGTTAGAGAGTTTTGTGAAAGGCATAAGACTCCATAGGTCCATTTTAAATCCATAGGCATTAAGGGAAAAACATTACTGCTGCTGGCTTACATCATTCTAAGATGTACATTTTCCCCCCAAATTTAACATCGCTAAAATCAGGAAGCATTTTACAGTTGCTGGCATTATGTGATTATGATTGGCACTTTTTTCCTTTGTTATTGGTACAAAAAACAGTGGTGTATCTTATAGTCATCCTACCTTTAATGAAAAACGATATGGATGTAGTCCTGAGATTTTTCGAGAAGCATGTTTGGCAGAAAGTTCATCGAATTCTTCCTCTACTCGAATGAGAGAAGTTTGAAGTCATTTTGTATTCTTTACATTTGGGCTAGGAATTGAATTAAAAGCCAGTAATTGCTTTTCAAGTGCCTCGTTGTAGATCATTTATAAAATTACAAAAATAATACTGTGCTTTAGAAATTTAGTTTTGCAGATGAAAAAGTTCTAGAGACAGTGGGTGGTGATGTTGAAGAACAATGTGAATGTGCTTAATGCCACTGAACATTATGCTTAAAAAATGGTAAAATGGTAAATTTCAAGTTATGTATATTTTATCACATTAAATTTTTTTCCAAGAGAAAGTAATATTGTACTTATAAAAATTTTCCTCAATTTAGAGAGAACACAGAATAAAGAAAGTTCTCTTTATGCCCTTCCCCGCCCTTCCCATTTCCCTACTTCTGTACCCCTTCACCAGAGGTTTGGTGTGTATCTTTTTCAACTATTTCTCTCCCTAAGACTTTCCATTTAAGAGATGTGTGGTTTTCATTGACCCGTCAAGTTCACTTTTCACCACAGTACATGTAATTGTAACAGATAAGTAAAATAAAAACATATTGGGGAGAATATCACCTGGGAAGGGTCCTTTTTTGATCTTATTAGGGCTAAATTGACTGCTTCATTTATATTCTGGGATGTTTTTCCTAGAAGTGGTCTGTTAAGTGCATTTCGGAGCCAGACTACTTCTAGTATAAAGAAAGCGTAGGGACAGATGTAACATGATGGCCTTAAATCAGTTGTTCAGCAGCAGGTTCCTGACTTTCTTCTCCCGCCGTGGGGCGAGCAGTTACCCTTGATGACTGTCGTGTCTGCTGCACAGCAGTTCCCTCCTGGAGGCCTCAGCCGGCTCCTCACCCCTGAGGACTGTGGAAAGCACGGCTGCTGCCCTATTCCTTCCTAGCTTGTACCGCGTGAGGGCCCCCGCTCTAGGGGGCCTGCTCCCCTCGTGGCAACCCACCCTGTCCCCAGATACCGCTTTCTGGGCCCGTTTCTCATCCCTGACGTTCACCCCTGTCTCGGGGAAGCATTCTCTGTGCTGTGTGTCTAGTTGGTTCTTTCTGTATGCTCTCTAAGTAAGGCTGGGCGCCTTTCTTTCAGGGTGCTTGTTTTAGTTCATACTGATAAGCACCCTGGTGTGTGACTGCCTTGATAAACGTCTCTCTCTCCTGATGACAGCTCCATGAGTTGGCGTCTGTGTTTTGCTCACTCTGCATCCCCCCTGGCCTTGCACATACTTGGTACTTGATGTGTGTTCAAAGAGGCTTTGTTGAATGAAGAATTTGATTTTTAAAAAATTTAATTTTATTTAAATTCAGTTTAATTAACATATAGTATATTATTAGTTTCAGAGGTAGAGTGCAGTGATTCATCAGTTGCATAGAACACCCAGTGCTCCTTGCATCACGTGCCCTCCTTAAGGCCCATCACCCAGTTACCCCTCCCCCTGCTCTCCTCCAGCAACCCTCAGTCTGTTTCCTGTAGTTAAGAGTGGTTTGTCTGCCTCTCGGACTTCGTCTTATTTTATTATGCTGAGCAAAAAAAATCCATTAGAGAGAGACAGTTATCATATGATTTCACTCATATGTGGAATTTAAGAAACAAAACCAGAGGATCATAGGGGAAGAGAGGAAAAAATAAAAAAAAGAATTTGATTTTTAATTGTCTTATAGAGTGGAGGAGTTTGGGGGTAGGGACTTGATAAGTATCAGAAAATTAACGTGGAGATCTAGACCTTGGTGCCCTGCCAATTTGGTTTTCAGCCACGGCTAAAACTTAGTTATCCTGGAAATATTTTAACACTTCATCATTATTTTTTGTTGGGGTTCTTTTGAAAGTGAATTTGGGCTTTGCAATACCCCGTAGCCTGGGCTTCTGTTAAGGGGAAGCAAGCAGATCAAGTAGCTTTTTATCATTCCTTTTGAACACACAGTGATTCAGCATGAGTAGATATGTGAATTTCTGGAAATGAGAAGCTTGAAATAAACTGTTCTCTCACGGATACTTATTTTAATTCCAGAACATGGTCCAAGACAATTCCTGGGAAAGTCGAATTCTTCTCTAGTGAGGGTTCAGACACATCGATACCAATCCCGATAGTGCCGCTGCGGGGCGTGGACGACTCCTACCCACCCCAGAAGAAGTCTTTCATGATGCTCAAGTACATGCATGACCACTACTTGGACAAGTATGAATGGTTTATGAGAGCAGATGATGACGTGTATATCAAAGGAGACCGTCTGGAGAATTTTCTGAGGAGTTTGAATAGCAGTGAGCCCCTCTTTCTCGGGCAGACAGGACTGGGCACCACGGAAGAAATGGGGAAACTGGCCCTGGAACCTGGTGAGAACTTCTGCATGGGGGGGCCCGGTGTGATCATGAGCCGGGAGGTTCTCCGGAGAATGGTACCACACATTGGAAAGTGTCTCCGGGAAATGTACACTACTCACGAGGACGTGGAGGTGGGAAGATGTGTCCGGAGGTTTGCAGGGGTGCAGTGTGTCTGGTCTTACGAGGTAAGAACAGGAAAAAAAAAAAAAATCTGTTAATCACATTATTAGTTCCAAACCAATCATAGGAAATGATTGAATAGCAGTGAGCTCAAGCCTTCTTTAAGGCTTGAAGTTGATATGAAGATATTGTACATTTTTACCTGAGTTTTTTAAAATTTGAATTCCCTCTTCGTATCTTACATCCTTCATTTTTAGGACATACCTTCGATACTTTTGTCCTGATACCTTAGTTAATAAATAATGGCATTTGGAGCCCAAAGAAACGATATGGTTCACTGTAGGTAACAGTGGTATTTTCATGATTGTCCAGAAAATTCATCTAAACTGACTTCTGCTGATCTGCAGGTGTGATTGCAAGTGTGTCAGCTTTCCCTGTCCCTGTTCTCCCGAAGGCCTGACTTTTCTCATCTGGTCACGATGACCCACACAGTTTTGAAGCTCAGCATGTTTAGAATTCATAAAATGAATAATGATTAAAAAAAAAAAGCGCCAATTGCATTTGACTTTGCATTTATTTTAAACGTTGACTTTTTAGACAGTTATTTGTAACCTGTAAGTTTGCAACATGGTTGTTCTTTTCAGAATAGTTGGTGGGCAGTCTCTGAGTTATCTTGACACCAAGTGCAATTTTTTGTAGGAAGTCTACTTGGAGATGTTTTCTCTTTAAATGTTCTCAAGAACATGAGTTAGCTTTTGACTTTTCTCTGTTTTTATTGGCAGATGTGCACCTCTTGCCCGCAGTTACAAGATCTGATGTTAGAGTGGAAAAAATTATTTAGGTTGTGTTGTGTTTAGACTGATAAACTACCGATAGTTGTGAGGAACAGAGGGAGTTTGCAGACCCTTGCCTAAGAAAAAGAAACACACTTTCTATTGTAAACTGTTAGCTTTTGTTATGAGTTAATTTTCTAAAGCGCTTGAATGAAGAAAGAGTATTCTTGCCAGTACTTGCCTTCTCCCCACAGACTTGCTTTTAAAGGTTTCCTAATAACTGTTTCTTTCGTTTGAACTCTCAGAGAAGTGGACATTTTCAAGAATACAGGAAGTAGTTTTCATGTTCATTTCTAATTTTATAAAAGATACATTTTAAATCTCAAATGTGATTTGAGTGAAACCTCTGATCTCTATGGGTCTCTCCCCCCCCCCTCCCGTGCACGGAGGATTGGTCACTGGATTGGGGGGCGGGGGCGGAATCTCTGTTGTCACGGCTTTTTGCAGCGAGGAAAGCTCTTTGGGGATGTCATGCAGTTTCCAGCAGAATACAAAAGGCAGTGTTTCTGCATTTTCCCCATTCTTAATTTAGTAGTTAAAACCTTAACATGTTTCATTATGGTTAAAACATGCAGTGCCTTGTGTATTTTGGAATGTTTTACGATATCCCTGATCTCTGCGAAGCTAGCCCTCCTGATGGAATTGTAGAGGATAGGCCTAACCTTTGAGAGAGAATTAAAAAAAAAAAAAAGTCTTCGCCTTGTAGTGCCGTTACATCTTACATTACATACTGCTAGATGGACAACAGCAGAGCCGGTATCTTGTTTATCAAGAACTCTGACCTAGCGTTAGCACCCAGATGTTGTCAGAAAGTATTGTCCTGGGGCTGCCAGCGTTGGGAGATCGTTTTAGGGCTGTTTTCACCCTGTTATCTTGTAATAACCGAAATTCTCTCAGGCCTGAAGTTGGGATGCTGGAAATCATCCTTTCCGGACACTGGGAGCCACCTCTTTGTCTGGAGGCACCTGGCAAAGGGATCTGGTGGAGGAGGGAGCTCCCTCCCTGGGTGGTTCCCATCCCTGCCTAGGATCTCCCGAGAAGTGTGGAGGAGCGTGGGCAGTGTGCGGGCGGTCGGCTTTGGGTGGTGTCCCTGCTGCTTTTCTTCCGTTTAAGTGACTGATGATGACGGAGCTTTTCCTAGGTACTGCCCTTTTGGGAGCTCCTTTTGTGGGAGATTATCTTTTCCCAGAATGTGGCTTGGCTTTTCATTTTAAATGTGGTATTCACATGCAAATTGTGAATTTTAAGCGTAGCCTCGTCTCTTTCTTATCCTGTATGGTTTGTGTTTTCTGTGTCTTGTGTAAGAAATTTTTCTCTTCCTTGGGTGACAGGAATTGTCTTCTAGATATTTTTCTGCAGATTTAAAATTTTGTCTTTTGTGTGCAGTTCTTCCTCTTTCTCATTTTTAAGAATCACATCTATGGGCACATGTACCATTTTATTAGACCTTTGATTTCTTTTTGCTTTTTTGGTAGGGCTTTAAGTGCTCTTAACCTAAGTCGTTATTAGGATTTATCATCGCGTTCACCACTCAGGCGAGATTAATCCCTCATGTGGATGAGAACTTTTATTAAACTTCCTGTAAATCTAGTTTCTCCATTAAGGCTCACATTATGAGAAATGATTGAGGTGTGGAGTCTTGTATTAAAGACAATTATGTTAAGCTTTGAGTCTCAGAAGGTGCTTATTTAAGCTCTTACAAATCTAGCTGGAAGGTGTACTTTTTTTTTTTTGCAAGTTTGAATAATGCCTTGGGATTACACTTAGATAATTAAAATGGCTCGGGAGAAACAACCATCATAATCAAAATCCAGATTCATTTCTAAGCTTGTTTTGATTATTATTGGTGGTTATTTATTAATATATGGCTTTAAAAAACTTTATTTGGAAATAATTTTAATTTCACAGAAAAACAAAATAGCCCAAAGCACATCCATACACCTTATACTCAAATTAACCTGTTAACATTTTACACCACTTGCGTTATCATTTGCCTCTGTTCCTGAGTGTCTCCCCCCATCCCCGCATACAGGGACATAGAGCTGTCCCTCATTTAAGAGTAACTTAAACATTGTGGCTCTTTACTTTAACTAACATCAATGTATTTTGACTAAGAATGGAGAAATTCTCTCATATAACCACAGTACAGCTTAAGTTCAACATGGAAACTTTATATTCTGATTTTATCTGTTGACGCGGTACAGTCCCACCTCACGGGACCCAGCCCAGGGTCAGGGATTACATTTGATCGTCATGCCTCTAAAGCCTCCTTCAGTCCAGACCCTTTGCACAAGCCTCTTTATTCGTTTTTTGTGACGAAGGCATTTTTGATAATTGGCTTTAAATACTTCATTTTCATAATAAAAAAATGTGGTTATCATATAGTAAACCATAAGGTGGTTTTTAGTAATGAGCGCTCCTCAGTGCTTACTGAAACCTCCCAGCCCAGAGCGAGAATGTGGGCCTTGAGGCTGTTAATACTGTAGGGAAAGTGGAGCAGGCAAACCTGGTTCCCCCTGGTCTCGTGGGCCCAGCCTTATAACTCAAGTTACATGGGATTTTTTTGAGAAACAGTATTATTATTATTCTTATTTTTAAAAATTTTATTTATTTGAAGGGGGGAGAGTGAGCGAGAGAGAGCAGGAGCGGAGGGAGGAGCACAGGGAGAGGGAGAAGCAGACTCCCTCCAGAAGCCGACTCCCTCCCCGCTGAGCAGGGAGCCGCTGAGCAGGGAGCCGGGTTGCTGCTAGATCCGAGAACTGCAGGACCATGACCTGAGCCGAAGGCAGAAGCTTAACGACTGAGCCACCCAGGCGCCCCTTGAGAAACATTATTGAAAAATTTGAAACAATTTATTTAGGTACATAAATGAAATACTATACAACTCTTTTAATAAGGGACTAAAAAGACAACTGACCTAAGGAATCTTTTCATTTTATTTTTGACTTTTTATTGAAGTATATCATACCTATGGAAAAGTGCACAGATCATCAATAAGTGTAGAGCTCAGTGGATTTTCACAAACAGAACATGGCTGGCTAACCAGCAACCAGATCTTGACTTTTCTTATTTTGATTCAACATTTGACTAGTAATGAAGGTATTTTGAGTAGAAAATAATCATTACTAATGAAAGTGGGAGGTAGGCATAAGTAGATTTGGCAACTTTAAAAGATTTATTTCATGCCATCACATGGCTTAAAATTCAGAAGTTGAAAGAGTTTATCAGGACAAATTTTCCCGTCTCTATCTACCAGGTTCCCTTCCGAATTAGCCACCATGGTGCATCCTTACAAGTGTACCGTATGCAGATATAAGCAAGAAAGTCTATATATCCCCCCCAACCCCTTTTATGTGAATGGTAGCATGTGTTATATAATATCGATATCTTGCTGGTTTTCACTCACAAGCCTTGGAAGATTTTCCGGTTGGTATATAAGAAGCTTCATCTTTTTTTATAGACATTCAGCCTCTTTCCAGTTCTTTTCAGCGGTGTTTCTAATCAGTCCCTTAACCCAGTGTTTCGCTGCCTTTTTCACATCATGATACACACATTGAGATATGTGGGGACCCCCAAAGGGCTCCTGCTACCCCACCCTCTACCCACTGCAGCCCCCACCACCCCCAGACCCGAAGGGATTTTATCTTGGCACAGCTAGAAGTTGTTTGGGAAACACCAGGATACTGAGACGCACCAGCGTGACGCTCGGAGTTAACCAATATTTGTTAAGCAAGCATTAGTGAGCCCAGCACTGCTCTCTGAATGGGTTGGAAACTACGAAAGAATAAAACACAAATGGCCTTTTTTTTTTTCCCTCAAGGGCTGTCGTCTAATTGAGGAGACAAAAACATGTTTATGAAATAGTTGAGAAAAATGTAAAAGTGTAAAACCCTGTGATAGTGATCTTAAAGATAAAATAGTACAGAGAAGGGGTAAGATCAGTGATGTTCTTTTTAAAGAAGGCATATATATCTTTAAGGGAAATTGGGAGTTTAGAGCAAAATATGTAAAAAGAGAAGGTTTTCCTTGTTAGTCTGACTGGCTTAGAAAGGGATGTTGAACATCTTTATATCAGAAGCCTGGGAGTTTTTTTCTTTAATAATGGAAGAGGTAATGTTTCAACTGCTGGTTGTCATGGAGCTGGTTTGTATCTAGTGATGCCTTCCTCACACCTTTAGGCTGCTTGTTAACCACTTGGCTGAGAACCAGGCAGGCCCCTAAATGGCTAGAAT